TGGGTAAATTGCTTGAAACTTTTAGGACTTGGTGGATAAATCGTTAGGAACTTTTAGGACTTGGTAGATGAATCGTTAGGAACTGTTAGGGCTTGGTAGATGAATCGTTAGGAACTGTTAGGACTTGGTGGATGAATCGTTAGGAACTGTTAGGACTTGGTGGACGAATCGTTAGGAACTGTTAGATGAATCGTTAGGAACTGTTAGGACTTGGTGGATAAATCGTTAGGAACTTTTTGGGCTTGGTAGATGAATCGTTAGGAACTGTTAGGACTTGGTAGATGAATCGTTAGGAACTGTTAGGACTTGGTGGATAAATCGTTAGGAACTTTTAGGGCTTGGTGGATGAATCGTTAGGAACTGTTAGGACTTGGTTCTCATAAGCTCTTCTCAAATTGATCTGAGAGATTCACAGTTACATAAAAACACTCACATACTAAGAGCTGATATCAGCCTAGCATCTTTCTTCTGTGTTTTTATGCTCACATGTAGAAATGTGTATGAAACACAATTACTGTGAGAGTTATTGCTGGAGGTGTGTAAACATATGCTCGTTGTCGGCAGGATTCGAACCTGCGCGGGGACACCCCAATGGATTTCTAGTCCATCGCCTTAACCACTCGGCCACGACAACACGTATTTCCTCATTGTGTGTCTTTGTTTGAAAAATAATTAGGAACTGTTAGGACTTGGTGGATAAATCGTTAGGAACTGTTAGGACTTGGTAGATGAATCGTTAGGAACTGTTAGGACTTGGTGGATAAATCGTTAGGAACTGTTAGGACTTGGTGGATAAATCGTTAGGAACTGTTAGGACTTGGTAGATGAATCGTTAGGAACTGTTAGGACTTGGTGGATAAATCGTTAGGAACTTTTAGGACTTGGTTGATGAATCGTTAGGAACTGTTAGATGAATCGTTAGGAACTGTTAGGACTTGGTGGATAAATCGTTAGGAACTTTTAGGGCTTGGTAGATGAATCGTTAGGAACTGTTAGGACTTGGTAGATGAATCGTTAGGAACTGTTAGGGCTTGGTAGATGAATCGTTAGGAACTGTTAGGACTTGGTTCTCATAGGCTCTTCTCAAATTGATCTGAGAGATTCACAGTTACATAAAAACACCCACATACTAAGAGCAGAAATCAGGCTAGCATCTTTCTTCTGTGTTTTTATGCTCACATATAGAAATGTCTGTGAAACATAGATTACTGTCAGAGTAATTTATAGATGTGTGTAAACAATATTACGCGTTGTCGGCAGGATTCGAACCTACGTGGGGAAACCCCAATGGATTTCAAGTACATCGCCTTAACCACTCGGCCACGACAACACATCTTTCATTATAGCTGTGTGGAATACAGAATACGTGATGTCAATCTGAAGCTAACAAGTTGTCAGACAGTGTAGTAATAGTGCAGTAAAACGTGCATATCATAAGGAACTGTTAGGACTTGGTGGGTATATCGCTTGAAACTGTTAGGACTTGGTGGGTAAATTGCTTGAAACTTTTAGGACTTGGTGGATGAATCGTTAGGAACTGTTAGGACTTGGTGGATGAATCGTTAGGAACTGTTAGGACTTGGTGGACGAATCGTTAGGAACTGTTAGATGAATCGTTAGGAACTGTTAGGACTTGGTGGATAATTTGTTAGGAACTGTTAGGAATTGGTGGATAAATCGTTAGGAACTGTTAGGACTTGGTAGATGAATCGTTAGGAACTGTTAGGACTTGGTGGGTAAATTGCTTGAAACTTTTAGGACTTGGTGGATAAATCGTTAGGAACTTTTAGGACTTGGTAGATGAATCGTTAGGAACTGTTAGGGCTTGGTAGATGAATCGTTAGGAACTGTTAGGACTTGGTGGATGAATCGTTAGGAACTGTTAGGACTTGGTGGACGAATCGTTAGGAACTGTTAGATGAATCGTTAGGAACTGTTAGGACTTGGTGGATAAATCGTTAGGAACTTTTAGGGCTTGGTAGATGAATCGTTAGGAACTGTTAGGACTTGGTAGATGAATCGTTAGGAACTGTTAGGACTTGGTGGATAAATCGTTAGGAACTTTTAGGGCTTGGTGGATGAATCGTTAGGAACTGTTAGGACTTGGTTCTCATAAGCTCTTCTCAAATTGATCTGAGAGATTCACAGTTACATAAAAACACTCAAATACTAAGAGCTGATATCAGCCTAGCATCTTTCTTCTGTGTTTTTATGCTCACATGTAGAAATGTGTATGAAACACAATTACTGTGAGAGTTATTGCTGGAGGTGTGTAAACATATGCTCGTTGTCGGCAGGATTCGAACCTGCGCGGGGACCCCAATGGATTTCTAGCCCATCGCCTTAACCACTCGGCCACGACAACACGTATTTCCTCATTGTGTGTCTTTGTTTGAAAAATAATTAGGAACTGTTAGGACTTGGTGGATAAATCGTTAGGAACTGTTAGGACTTGGTAGATGAATCGTTAGGAACTGTTAGGACTTGGTGGATAAATCGTTAGGAACTGTTAGGACTTGGTGGATAAATCGTTAGGAACTGTTAGGACTTGGTAGATGAATCGTTAGGAACTGTTAGGACTTGGTGGATAAATCGTTAGGAACTTTTAGGACTTGGTTGATGAATCGTTAGGAACTGTTAGATGAATCGTTAGGAACTGTTAGGACTTGGTGGATAAATCGTTAGGAACTTTTAGGGCTTGGTAGATGAATCGTTAGGAACTGTTAGGACTTGGTAGATGAATCGTTAGGAACTGTTAGGGCTTGGTAGATGAATCGTTAGGAACTGTTAGGACTTGGTTCTCATAGGCTCTTCTCAAATTGATCTGAGAGATTCACAGTTACATAAAAACACCCACATACTAAGAGCAGAAATCAGGCTAGCATCTTTCTTCTGTGTTTTTATGCTCACATATAGAAATGTCTGTGAAACATAGATTTCTGTCAGAGTAATTTATAGATGTGTGTAAACAACATTACGCTTTGTCGGCAGGATTCGAACCTACGTGGGGAAACTCCAATGGATTTCAAGTCCATCGCCTTAACCACTCGGCCACGACAACACATCTTTCATTATAGCTGTGTGGAATACAGAATACGTGATGTCAATCTGAAGCTAACAAGTTGTCAGACAGTGTAGTAATAGTGCAGTAAAACGTGCATATCATAAGGAACTGTTAGGACTTGGTGGGTATATCGCTTGAAACTGTTAGGACTTGGTGGGTAAATTGCTTGAAACTTTTAGGACTTGGTGGATGAATCGTTAGGAACTGTTAGGAATTGGTGGATAAATCGTTAGGAACTTTTAGGACTTGGTAGATGAATCGTTAGGAACTGTTAGGACTTGGTGGATAAATCGTTAGGAACTGTTAGGACTTGGTAGATGAATCGTTAGGAACTGTTAGGACTTGGTGGATAAATCGTTAGGAACTGTTAGGACTTGGTGGATAAATCGTTAGGAACTGTTAGGACTTGGTGGATAAATCGTTAGGAACTTTTAGGACTTGTTTGAAAAATAATTAGGAACTGTTAGGACTTGGTAGATAAATCGTTAGGAACTGTTAGGACTTGGTGGATAAATCGTTAGGAACTTTTAGGACCTGTTTGAAAAATAATTAGGAACTGTTAGGACTTGGTAGATAAATCGTTAGGAACTGTTAGGACTTGGTGGACGAATCGTTAGGAACTGTTAGATGAATCGTTAGGAACTGTTAGGACTTGGTGGATAATTTGTTAGGAACTGTTAGGACTTGGTGGGTAAATTGCTTGAAACTTTTAGGACTTGGTGGATAAATCGTTAGGAACTTTTAGGACTTGGTAGATGAATCGTTAGGAACTGTTAGGGCTTGGTAGATGAATCGTTAGGAACTGTTAGATGAATCGTTAGGAACTGTTAGGACTTGGTGGATAAATCGTTAGGAACTTTTAGGGCTTGGTAGATGAATCGTTAGGAACTGTTAGGACTTGGTAGATGAATCGTTAGGAACTGTTAGGACTTGGTAGATGAATCGTTAGGAACTTTTAGGGCTTGGTGGATAAATCGTTAGGAACTTTTAGGGCTTGGTGGATGAATCGTTAGGAACTGTTAGGACTTGGTTCTCATAAGCTCTTCTCAAATTGATCTGAGAGATTCACAGTTACATAAAAACACTCACATACTAAGAGCTGATATCAGCCTAGCATCTTTCTTCTGTGTTTTTATGCTCACATGTAGAAATGTGTATGAAACACAATTACTGTGAGAGTTATTGCTGGAGGTGTGTAAACATATGCTCGTTGTCGGCAGGATTCGAACCTGCGCGGGGACACCCCAATGGATTTCTAGTCCATCGCCTTAACCACTCGGCCACGACAACACGTATTTTCTCATTGTGTGTCTTTGTTTGAAAAATAATTAGGAACTGTTAGGACTTGGTGGATAAATCGTTAGGAACTGTTAGGACTTGGTAGATAAATCGTTAGGAACTGTTAGGACTTGGTGGAAACTGTTAGGACTTGGTGGATAAATCGTTAGGACTTGGTAGATGAATCGTTAGGAACTGTTAGGACTTGGTGGATAAATCGTTAGGAACTGTTAGGACTTGGTGGATAAATCGTTAGGAACTGTTAGGACTTGGTGGGTAAATTGTTAGGAACTGTTAGGAATTGGTGGATAAATCGTTAGGAACTGTTAGGACTTGGTAGATGAATCGTTAGGAACTGTTAGGACTTGGTGGATGAATCGTTAGGAACTGTTAGGACTTGGTAGACGAATCGTTAGGAACTGTTAGATGAATCGTTAGGAACTGTTAGGACTTGGTGGATAAATCGTTAGGAACTTTTAGGGCTTGGTGGATAAATTGTTAGGAATCTTAGGAATTGGTGGATAAATCGTTAGGAATCATTAGGAGTGTAAATTATTAGGAACTGTTGCAGTTCAAACCAATGAAAACAAAACAGAGATAATCTAGACATAGATGAATGTGTGTTTCGTTAGCTCATCGACTCTCTTTGTCTCCATAGGGTCGGGTATCACATCCCCATGTTTGCTGGTTTCATCATCATGTTCGTGTCAACCATCAGTAAGATCAGACAAAACACTCACACAAACACACACACGGTGATGACAGTGTGTCCTCTACGAATAAATGTCTAATCATATGCATGTCTGTGTCAGTGTTTGCGTTCTCAGGCACATACGCTCTGCTGTTCTTCGCTCGCTCTCTGCAGGGCATCGGCTCGTCCTTCTCCTCTGTGGCAGGTCGACACTTTGACACTCAAACAACAAACACTATTCCATCCACAGTGAGTGTTTGCCACCACTGAAGAAGAAAAATGGCCTTGTATCCTCATGCACGTGTTTGTTTGTGTGTAGGTCTGGGTATGCTGGCCAGTGTGTACACAGATGATGAGGAGAGAGGCATCGCCATGGGCATCGCACTGGGAGGACTGGCTATGGGCGTCCTGAGTGAGACTCATACTCACACACACATACTGTCGTGTTTCCATCACTTTCGGGGACATTACATTGACTTACATTCATTCCCTGGAGACCTGCACTAACTTTAACCACTAGTTACCTAAACATAAACCAAGTCTTCACCGTATATATAATAAACAAATAAACACATGGGGGCTGCTTATCTGTGGAAATGTCTACAAGAAAAATTAACTGTCAAAGTTTTTAATGAGGTGTGTAATCAAGGGCTAGTTGTCAGCAGGATTCAAACGGGGAACCCTCAATGGATTTCTAGTCCATCGCCTTGACCACTCGGGCACAACAATAGATGTCCCTAGTGATTCAAACATTTGATGGTATCTTACATATTTCCGTGACCCGTGACCCTGTACGCAGGATAAGCGGTTGGCTAACCACTATTTCAATCAAACCAACATGGACGAAGCTATAACTGATCGATGATCAATCAGTTGTCATGTTATTAGTCGTACCGATGGAACATTCCTATCATAGTTATCATGTTTGAGATGATGATGAGGTTGACTGTGGTGCAGCTGAAACGACTAAATGTAGTTCAGTGTTTCCCCTAGGATGGAGTTGTAGCAGCGGAGGTGAAGCAAAATTTTTGTCTGAATTTAAAACCCTAACACAACATGTCTCAGCTACATTGCTCTTGTGTCCATGAGCACGATGCACATGAGAATACTTCAGTGTTTTCCCAGTTTAATGTGAGCTGCAGGCTATACTAGTTTACTCTCAGATTGTAACTGATGTTCTCAACATTGGACAAGTAGGCAGTAAGAAAACACAGCTACCAGTTACTTTCTATTGAGCTAATGTTAAATGTTACATAGCAGCTAAAAGTCGCAGCCTGCTGTTGAAGCTTTTTTGCTCAGCTCAGTCTGAAGGGGAGGGGGGATGCTAGCTAAATTAGCGCTAACAGGCTTCACTTTTTCAGCATGTGGGAAACAACAAACTTTTCTTGGTCTTGAGAAGCTGAAACACTGTAACAGAAACCGTACATTTACTGCCAGAATATTTCCCTCCACTCGCGTTCACCATCACTTTCTGCCGCTCGGACAATCAAACACTCGCTACGCACAGGATTTACTCTGTTATAACACCATCTGTCACTTAGATGTTTTGTATAGAACGATCAGAGGAAGCTAGCTAGAAACATTTGATTCAGCAGCAACGGTGCGCCACTGGTGAATGCATATAGGGGAAACACTGCAGTTTAAAAGTGAGTTTTTGAATATTAGCTGCGTATAATCTTAATGTCTTTGGACAGGATTTCATTAAATGTGAAATGAGCACGATTGTTAAGTCTGTTTTTCATGGCAGACTAAAGTACACTGTCCTGCAATCAGGATGGGATTTAAGCCCCCGCATGCAGAGTCCAAAGGATTAGCAGGCCATCACTTTAACCACTCGGCCACCTCGTCTGTTTTTGATAAGATAAGTCAGATCCAGGTCACCTTGCTGGGTCCAAATGCAGCGCAGTGTACTACAAGTCTGCTTATCAGGTGGTGGACTTCCGCAGTGATGCTTGGTTAGATGTGCTGTTAGATGTAGTGAACAAAAGTGGCCATTTTTGCCTTGTTCCTCTTTAAATGTTGTACGACATGATCATTAGGGAGAGCAGGAGCAAAAGCTGTTGGTCAACACACAAGGGAATGAGCTGTAATGGAGTTTGTTTATACTCAGTGCATGCTGCAGTGGATTGACGAGGACAAGGACATTTCTGTTGAGAAGCCTTATTGGTCCTTACACGGTTTTAATTAAGCAGCCAGCTACATAATCATGGCAGACTAAAGTAAACTATCCTCCGACAAGGATGGGATTTGAAGCCACTCATGCAGAGCACAATGGATTAGCAGTCCATCACCTTAACCACTCCGCTACCTCGTCTGCGTTTGGCTGCAGTTTACCACCCAAACAGAAACCAAGGGAGGGTGAGACAGCATCAAGACCAGGACCAGTGCCCCACACTACATGACACATAACAAACACCAAGAGCTGAAATCCTTCATGCAACTGTATTCAAACTCAAAATTAGCATACAGCTTCTGAGATGAAGTGAAGTATAAAGTAGCAGAAAATGTACCTCAAGTATGGAGTACATCAAGTATGGAGTACATTCTATTATTTCTAAATCAGCTCAGTGTGTCTCCACCTTACAGAGCCCACTAACACACCAGTCGCATTTATTTAATTGCAGAGGTTTGCAGATCCTGTGCGACACTGCAATGAATCCTAAATCTTCATCCTGAAACCCTGAACACTCAAACAACTCGTTAATAATGTCCTCGCTTTTATGGTCTAAGTTCTGCATTTATTCCCAAGAATAAAAAGATTCACACATAAAACACTTCAATGTCAAACTGTGTGTCATCCTCTGTATTATGCGTGTGTAACGTCAGTCAATGTTGGTGTGTGTTTCAGTCGGAGCTCCGTTCGGCAGTGTGATGTATGAGTTCGTGGGGAAGAGGGCCCCCTTCCTGATCCTGGCCTTCCTGGCTGTGTTTGATGGAGGTATAAAAAGAAAAAAAGAGTTGTAAATTCCTGTCTGTGAGTTTTAATAACCTCTCTGCTTACTTATTAATTATTATAGATGTATCACATTCCCTATTTAGCGAGGACGAGCTGGGTGCCATCCCTCTGAACCAACCGGGCTTGCAGATCATTTGTGCTTACCATTAATGCACTGCTGAACTGTCAAACACACCATTTTCACACAAAATGCAAATGGAAAATTCATGTCTGAAACTGTCTGTGAAGGTTCTCAGTCATCCAGGCCATAGTTATCCAATGAAGGTTGAGGTCAAGGGCAACTGGACTTGGTTGAAGATACTAGAAGATGTTTCGCTTCTCATCCGAGAGACTTCTTCAGTTCTAAAGAAGCCATTCCTTGCATATATGGACAACCCAAAATACACAAAGAAGGAGCCCCACTCAGGCCGATTATCAGCAGCATCAACTCGGTCACCTACAACATTGCCAAACACTTATCTACCATCTTAGCTCCTTTGGTTGGTAACACGCCCCACCACATCCAAAACTCCATTGATTTTATAAACAAAGTTTGAGGACTGAAATTGGACTCAGATGAAACCATGGTATCCTATGATGTGACCTCTTTGTTCACCTGCATCCCACCATGGAGGCAGTAGAAACCATTAGGAAACGGCTACTAAAAGACAACACCCTGGACAAGAGAACTAGCCTCAGCCCTGACCAGATCTGCAAATTACTCGACCTCTTTCTAAGCACCACCTATTTCCAGTACAATGGAGGATTCTACAGACAGAAGCATGGCTGTGCCATGGGCTTACCGGTATCCCCGATTGTGGCTAACATCTATATGGAAGAAGTGGAGGGAAAATGGACCTAAACCCTAAATGGAACTTTGTGAGAACAGCCCCAAAATCCAAGAAGAACAAAACTACAGGGGAGGAGGAAAAGTAGGTCAAACGCAACAACATTGTGATTCCATACGTGTCTGGAGTATCAGAGAAACTCAGGAGGATTTTCAACAAACATAACATCCCTGTGTTTTTTAAACCCAAGAACACACTAAGACAGATGCTGGTCCACCCCAAAGACCGCACACCCAAACACAAGAAAAGCAATCTAGTGTATGCGGTCCAATGCAGTGAGGAATGCACAGACCTGTATATTGGGGAGACTAAACAACCACTACACAAACGCATGGCTCAACACAGAAGGGCCAACTCCTCAGGTCAAGACTCTGCAGTCTACTTACATCTGAAGGACAGAGGACACTCGTTTGAGGACCACCAGGTGCACATTTTAGACAGAGAAGATGGATGGTTTGAAAGAGGTGTCAAGGAAGCATCTACACCAGGGTTGAGAAGCCGTCATTGAACAGAGGAGGGGGTCTACGCCACCACTTATCCCCCACTTACAATGCTGTCCTTTCATCACTTCCCAGGAAACTCAACAAGCATTTCCTCTTGGCCTCAGGTGAAGATGCCAATGATGGTCGTTCAGTCTTGGCCTTGGGTGGTTCTAACGACCATGATGACTGTCGTTACAACAACCAGGAACACTAACAAACCAGTAGTATCGACGATCCTGGCAAACGACCTCACAGAGGTTAAATAGCTGAGTTTCCCTGCCAGTCAGTCAGAACTGAAGAAGTCCCTTGGATGAGGGACGAATCGTCTTCTAGATTCTTCAACCAAGTCCAGTTGCCCTTGACCTCAACCTTCATTGGATACATGTCTGAAACATGCTTGAAGCTCAAATCGACCATTTTTATCCACACCAAACACCCATCAAACACCAAGCATCTAAATAAGCATATAACACAACATAAATTGCTCTTTGAGCACCGTACATGGCTGCAGTTATAAGCATCATGTCCAACCTCTCAAACCAAAGCTAATCTCCCCCTGAGATCAGCTGTAAAGCTCACATCACTCAAATCACCAAAATTACAGACTAATTAGCTGGATAAATGTAACAACAAACAAGTCAATGTACATGTTTTTGCCATTTCCAGTTAAAAAAAATGCATTATAATCTATATTATGATGGTTTTGATGGTTTATTGTATTAAAATATAGCTTTTTTACCAGGCGAGGATGAAAATATCATATTTTTCTTTACTGCATCTCCATTTAGTCTGTAATGGTAAAATAAATATGTTAATTTACCATGGATTTATGTTCCTCAGCTTCTGACCTTTCAAAGGAGACCAGAATTATGCATCTAGGCCTAATGGTTGAGGAGTTATTCCTGATTCATTTAGGATATGTTATTACTCGAAAAAGGTAGCAGTGACCAACAGGTAAGACCTGTGCTGTTTTAATGCTGCGTTCACGTGCCCGTCCAACACATTCTCACTCCCAACTTGTCACATCCGTCCGGTTAGACATTCAAAATAAAAGTACTTTCAACATTGCAAAACGTCACAATTTTAAAACAGCACATTGTTGCAGCTTGGTTAGGTTTGGGCACCAAAATTTCTTGGTTCGGTTTATGACAAGATCATGGTTTAGGTTAAAATAACTGCGGTACATACATCAGTTAACTTACATAACGGTTCTTGTGTCATTTATGCAACTTAAATAAAACATTTGACATGGGAAACAGTCTCCTGGATGGAAGTCCGGTTGTAGCTCCCTCCATGCGATGTTAGCTCTCCTAGCAAAATGTTCGGCTCTACCGGCGAGAAGTGCACGCATAATAGAATTGAATAGATCAGCCCATAGATCAACCCCTTGTCACGACACCCAATCCAGCTATTTGAGTCAGTATTATGCCAGTGCATCCCTAGCGATGTATAATTTGTATTTTTTCTGTAACATTTTGAAGCTTACAGATTTTGTCCCAGATTTGTTGTTGCACCAGTACAAGCCATAAAACCACAAAGATACTGCTTTACCTGACTTGTCATCAGGGTTAGTGCGGACATTAACTCATCTAGGTCACTCTACGTCCGCCATGCTTCTGTGATACATGGGCTCAACTCAGGAAGTTTCCTAAATTGTTGTTCCGACTTAAGGACGCGTTCAAGTGAATTTTCCCTATCGGGAACTAATGTTTCTAATTATTCCATCCCCACATGAATGCAGGGTAACACAGGACTGGTATAAACCTGCTAAGACTCATGGGAGTTGTAGTAAATAATTGTTGGTGTGCAGGTTTCAGGTTTTTATGTATTTTAGAATAAGTTCATGTATAGAATCAGCTCTGCTTACCTACATGTGTAAATGATGTTGCTGCTGACGGGTTTCAAACCTGTGACCCCCTGTGTACATGCTGGTAATCACACTGATCTAATCCAGTTAGCATGTTCTGATGTTTGTGTGGATTTGTGTGTTGCAGTGTTACAGCTGTGCATCCTGCAGCCTTCAAAGATCTCTCCAGGGGTGAGTTCACTTTGAAACCACTGCTGCCATACAAGCACTGACCTGCCCTGATCGGATGTGGTTGGATCTGGTCCAGTCTGGTCTTCAGCCTGATGTTGCTGATGGTCTGGACCTGGTTCAATCCAGTTTCTGATCGCTCACGTCTGATCCATTCTGGTCTGGTTACACTGTTTGTTGTGGACCAGGATGACCAGGTTCAGTTTGTGTGTTTCAGAGTGTGGAGGGGACCCCGTTACTGACGCTGTTAAAAGACCCATACATCCTCATCAGTGCAGGTGAGAAGCCGGCGCCTCCTCACACTCACCTGTGCGACCTCATTCGGCCCCAGACAGATCTGTTTTTAGCTCCTGGAGGCTGAAGAGACACATTTTTGAAAGTTTGATGTTTACCCGTTCACAGAGGCGGCTGGTGAAAAATATTTTAAGTGGGGCTGTGCCATATCCAGTCAGTTTCAGTAACACAAACTGCAGGATACCAGTGCTCTTTGAAATAGACGGGTTTCTTGTATACAAACACTTAAAAAATAAAATAATAAACGGTTCGGTAGCCGTTCAGAACTTAATAATAAACTGCCATTTCAGAGTTGGATCTGTATGTTTGTGTTTCATTTCGCATATTAATATAACAAGCATGCCCAGGTCAGTGACAGCGGACGTGATGTTGTTCAAGTCAGCTGTAGTCAAAAAGCTAAAGGAAGAACAAGGGAGAGAAGCATTCTTTCCATCAGGCCTAACTTAGCTGTGTCACACTCAGATGCAAAGAACACGGTCTTCCGTAAACGTTGCAAGACCAGCAAAAAGCTTTCAACCACAAACAATTTTCTGTTGAAGCATCTGCTAAGAAATGTGAAACCTGTAGAAAGAAACTCCGGCAGCTGCTGCCAGTGATGCATCCACTCGGCTGGACAGAGGGGCGTCAATCAACGTTTTGTGTTATGTAAAAGCACTGAATACTTCTCTTATAAATGCATGTGCAAAACAGTAATGTTAGTTCAAAAGTCGAGACGCTTGCTTAATTGTTTGTTTTTATCTCAGACAGTGGCGTTAAAAAACGTTACATGCTTCATAAAAATCATTCTCATTGATGCTGTTATGAATAACGTTACATGATTAGTCTAAAAAGTCAGGAGAGACTTGCTTTGTTTTTTCTATTTCAGCCAATGACTTTAAGAAATGTTATGAACTGTAAAAATTGTACTCATTGATGCTGTTATGAATACGTGATTAGTTTAAATGTCGGGAGGGTCCTGTTTTGTTTTTTGTTTTTTTTTAAATAGCCTGTATGATCCAGCATCCTCTGGTCTGAGAGGCTGCAGTGTTTGCAGTTCGGCTGCTTGTTGACTCCTCAGGTTAATTATTGTTCCAGTAAAGTGGATTCATTTCTAAAATGCGCTGCTGAACAGGTTTCCCATCACTTTTAAGGACGGGGTGCGGTGGTTAAAAGTAATTGTAACGGAACGAGTAACGTGACCATTTACTTTTAATACCCAGTAATAAGTAAAGTAATATTATTACTTTTTGAATGAGTAATAAGTAAAAATTAAGTCATTACAATTTCTGAGTAATTTGCCCAACACTGCAGCTAGATATGCCGCATAAACTGATATGCCATGAAGACAGAGCGCTGCTTTCTGCCCCCTGGTTGCGCATTCGTCTCAGTGATGATGTTGCACAGAAACCCATCTATAGTCAGAAATTATTTAATGCCAATATTAAAAGTTTCTTACACAAAAACATAAACAGTGAACATAAACATAGAAAGTGGCATTAAAAGAAACTACTCAAGTGAAGTACTGATACCTCTAATGTGTTCCTCAGTACAGTAGGCCTACTTAAGTTACTGTCCATCACTGGAAATAACCACATCTTAACACTTCAGAGCTGCCTGTAAACTACACAACTTACCTCTCGATGTACCGTGGCAGAAGCACCAGCTGGCAGTGGGTGGAAATATCAGATGTTTATCTTCTAAGATAGACAAAATACTATTTATACTAGGGCTGGGCGGGATGGCCAAAAAATTTTACATCATTCGATATTGATAATTATCAGGATAAATGTCAAATCATGATTTCTATCGAGTATAAAAGCTGATTTTTGCTCCTTAAAGAAAGCTGAAGAAACCAGATGGTTAATTGTGTTTTAAACTTTTCTTCATGGTCACAGCATGAAAATCTCTCACCAAACAGTGGATCACTTCACAAATCTGAGGCAGAACATTCAAAACTATTCTGATAAAATCTGTTTTCAACAAATATGCATGAGTAAAATTAAGTTCAATCTTTTTTCAGTCCCTTTTTCCTCAATAAAAAACAATATCTTAATAGAAAAAGTAAGTGCTAATTCATTCATGATTCAAATGAATAAGATCAAACATTTATTGAACATTTGTTTTATTGTTATTGAGCAACATTATACTGTGATCATTATTGTTAGGCTATTCTTTTATTGTCCAGCTCTAATTTGTACCATAACTTGTGATGTTTATTATTTACTGAAAGATGTGCATCCATAATTCCCAGTCTGTTCCACTAAACAACATTTTAATAGTTAATGTGAATCCACAGCTTTCCATCTTGCATTAGTCCAGAGCTGTAACTAAACCTTCAGTGAGAGACAGAGAATCACTGTCTCGTTTTAAAATGATGTGTGCCTTTGAGGAGTGCCCTCACATCTGTGTGCTGTCTGGTCCCACTCAGATGGACTGAAGTAACGTCCGACTGCGGACTGTAGCGCCGCTCATTTCGTGCACGCTGTATGAGCGCATGTTCAAGTGCGATGTAGTTCTCATTTCCATGCTGCAGCTAATGAACATCGTTGCCCGTCTGCGTTTATCACACTAGGCTGGTTCCAGTCTTATCTCACAGCCAGGACGGAGTATGTGGCTCTAGGACAGTCCCAATCATCACCCCACACAGTCAGCTGTGGAGTGCCACAAGGGTCCGTCCTTGGTCCAACCCTTTTTACCATCTACTTACTACCCCTCGGTCACATCATCCATAAACACAAAGTTTCATTCCATTGTTACGCAGATGATACACAACTATACATAAAAATGGACTCCACACTCCCCTCAGCTCTGCCATCTGCACTTCAGGTTTGCCAGGAGGAGATAAGGGCATGGATGGCTGACAACTTTCTTCAACTAAATAGCAGCAAAACCGAAGCCATCCTGATCGGTACCCCACATCAAACCCAGTCCTCCTCCCTCAGCAGTATATCCATTTTTGGTCATCACATTCCCCTGTCTACCTCTGTTACAAACCTTGGAGTCAGACTTGACTCAAATCTCACATTCGACACTCACATCCGTCACCTCTGTAAGGTCTCCTTCCTCCACCTCAAAAACATCGCCAAACTCCGCCCCTCCCTCTCACAACTAGATGCTGAGAAGTTGATCCATGCCTTTATCTCCTCCAGGTTGGACTACTGTAATGCCCTCCTCGTCGGGATCCCTGGCAGGAGACTGCAAAAGCTCCAGCATATTCAGAACTGCGCTGCCCGGGTCCTGACGAGGAGGTGCAAATATGACCATATCACTCCAGTCCTGAAATCCCTCCACTGGCTGCCCATTCAATACAGAATTCAATATAAAATCTGTCTCCTTACCCATCAGTGCATACATGGAACTGCCCCTGCCTACCTCAGTGAACTCCTCACCCCACTCACCACCTTAAGAAACCTCCGCTCCTCCACCTCTACCCACTGCCTGCACCAACCAAGGACTAATCTCTCCACCATGGGAGACAGGGCCTTCCAGGCAGTCGCCCCACGGCTCTGGAATGCCCTCCCAGAGCCCCTAAGGGCCCCACAAACTCTGAAGGTTTTTAAGAAGGGCCTAAAGACTTTTCTATTTCAAGAGGCCTTTTAACAGTCATGGTTTTAAATCTTTTGTTACGGTGTTTTATTGCGATTGTTATTTTCTGGAACTGTTTTTAACCCCTTGTTGCTGTAGCACTTTGAGATTTCCCTGAAATGTAAAGTGCATTATAAATAAAATTTATTATTATTATTATCAAAGGTAATAAATAATTGTATTTCACTCAAATATTGTTCAGTCATAGTCTGGCAAGCTACCAAGACAAAAACAGAGGTAGTTGTGCTGCTCAGCTGGGTCAGCAGCGCAGAGGCCGACTCACTGCAGCTACACATGAACCTTCTCACATCAGAATTTCAGAGGAGAGGACACAAGTTTACCTGACTGCTGTTCTCGAAAGTCACTCTCATTGAGTTATTTTCTCTTCTTGCGCCCAGAAGGATCGTCCCTTGTTTGTCCTCTCATCAACGCTGTAAACACTCGCTTTCAACAGTGACTCGTTTTTTTTGCAACATTTCATATTGTTAACAACGTGCCTTTTCACGTCAACCAGTAGTCAACCCCGCCACGTGTGTCGCTCTACCACCGACTGACTCTGTTTAGGGCAGATCCTGTAGCGCCCTTCAGGCATCAGATTCGAGGACGCTGATTTCAATTTATGTTGCTATGGGCGTATCTTGTCAGCTATGTCGGCTATCTCTCTAGCGCCCCAGAAGAGATCAGTGGATGAGCAGGAAGCTAATTTCACCCCCAAACATAATTATTTAGCCTATATTTTATATATTACACATTATTGTGCATTATAAACACACATATACTTAAAAAAAGTAATTACTGTTTATTTCAAAAATGTTTCTTTTAAAAAGAAAAATCAAAACACTTTCCACCACCAGGGAGGGCGGGGCCCTAGCGCCCTCTACTGGCCAGCCGTCACTGCCCGTTCATCTGTCTGTCTGTCTGCAGGTTCTCTGTGTTTCGCCAACATGGGTGTGGCCATCCTGGAGCCGACTCTGCCCATCTGGATGATGCAGACCATGTGCTCCCCTAAATGGCAGCTTGGTACGATCCACTGTCTGCTTCTTTGGTCCACTGTCCTCCTGTCCCATTCCTCAACAGCTCTTCTTCCTCCTCCTTATGTTCCTCCCTCCCCACCCTTCCTACTCCCTCCTCATCCTCTCTAAAAGGTATGTGTTGTGTTGCAGGTATGGCCTTCCTCCCTGCGAGTATCTCCTACCTGATAGGAACAAACCTGTTTGGTATTTTGGCCAACAAGATGGGAAGGTCAGTGTGCTTCTGAGTGTGTTTAACTGTAAATCATTCATAAAGGCAGTCCTTTAGTTGAGACGAGCGCCGCAGAGGAACACGTTTAATCAGAAGATTAACAGATTAGCTTTTCTGGAAAGTCTGAGTCCTGTTCAGACCTGATCCTGAAGAGTTCTGGTAAACCTGCAGGTATAAGACAGACAGACAGACAGACAGACAGGTGGCTGATGGGTATTTCTGTGTCTCCAGGTGGCTCTGCTCCATGTTAGGGATGTTTATCGTTGGCGTCAGTCTGCTGTGTGTAAGTACCACATCCATCCGTCCATCAAATCAATTCTACTCATCCATCCATGTTTTTAATAATCCACTCATTCAACCAAGTGTCCGTCCATCGATCCAATAACCTGTTCATCCATCCATCATTGATTCATCCAACCAATTATCCATACATCCAATAAATCCATGTGGTGAACGATGTTGTAGTAACAGGATAAGACCTGCACCAACACACACAGGCTTGTTTCATCTCTTTAGTGTCTTTACAGTCTGTTCTCACCTCCAGGAACCAAACTTAATGTTAAAAACACCCAAATTAAAGCATCAGCTGCAGTTATCACGTGACATGTTTCCTGTATGTGTCAGGTTCCTTTTGCCACCAATATCTACGGTCTGATTGGACCAAACGGCGGTCTGGGCTTCGCTATAGGTGACTATCAACATGTTCATTACCTCACTGAATCTCAAATAGCCTATCGAAGGTGTTTGTAGGTAAATTTTATATTTTATTATATTAACTGTGGAAACAATAACCCACTTTTGACAGCTGTTGATTGATTTTTGTCCTTCAGGTATGGTGGACTCCTCCATGATGGCCATCATGGGATACCTGGTGGACATCCGTCACGCCTCCGTCTACGGCAGCGTCTACGCTATCGCTGACGTGGCGCTGTGTATGGGGTTCGCTATCGGTAACACACATTCTCAGACGTTTATACAGTACATACTGTAGATACTGCACTGGTGGTACAATGACCAGATATAGCCAAAGTAGGGTTAGTAGTATAAGTTAAAAACACACATCTTGTTTTATTTAATTTTGATTTAGATTTTTTTTGCAATTTTAAGAAAGTAAAATATTGAAGTTGTGGTGTTGAAATTATAGACCAAAAAATAATAACAATATTAAGTTCTTCCCATGAATATACGACGGCGTATTAGGGCCATTGTAGAAAAAAAAAACATAAATCATGGAGCTGGGGGAGAGGAGAATTTTTTCTGAGAAAAAACTCAGAAATTCTGAGGTTAAAGTCCAAAATTTACAAGAAAAAACTGTAGTTCTGGCGAAGGGATGGCTTAGATAGGTAAGCAGATATGCATTTTAGTCATTTATAAATCTCTGCAGTTCTTTAAGCTTTTGGTCTTTGAACAGCAGAAGTTTCTCTTAATGCTGGTTGGTGAGAGTCCCTTATATGTGATGGCTGTTTGACAGCTTCATACCCTGCTTTCAACAGCAGACACGAGCACATCTGAAACATTTTTTTCTGAGAAATGTCCCATCCATCCATCCATCCATCCATCCATCCATCCATCCATCCATCCATCCATCCATCCATCCATCCATCCATCCATCGTCAATTGCTTATAAAACTATAAACTATAAACTATAAAATCAGAGAAAACTTTTGTTTTTTTCTTGTAAATATTTGAGGTTTTTTCTCATAAATCTACAACTTTTATATAATATTAACCCTCTCCCCTGGCTGTGCATTTTAATTTTGTTTACCTAAAATGGTCCTAAAGCTGATGATACACAGAGCAGCTTTTAGAGCAATTGTGCAGGGCAACGTTGCCGTCAATGGTAATGAGTAAAGATTACTACCGTAATCCCCTTCCCCCACCACTCCGTCACCCATATCATCAGCTTAACGCGCCGTCGTGTGGATAAGACAAAGACATAATAAACATAAATAAACATAATGAAAAACATCATAATAATGATATTTTCAAATCTGTCTGTTGTTCCAGGACCATCCACAGGGGGCGCTCTGGTCCAGGTGGTGGGTTTTCCCTGTCTCATGGTGTTTATCGGGGTGATCAACATCCTGTATGCACCACTCTGCTTCCTGTTACGTAACCCTGCCGTCAGTGAGGAGAAAATGGTAAAAACATGAGCTGGATCAGCAGCAGATGTGATCCAGAGGTGAAACAGTGAACTACCATCAGATCTAGGGCTGTGCGATGTGACAAACAATTCATATCCTGATAGAGAAATTCTTTTGTAAATTCTCGGGATATTTCTCTGCATTATAAAGGTGGGGTAACTTGACAACACCTTGACAAATACCATGACAGAGTGAACAACGACACAGCAAGTAATGTAACTAATGTTAGCTAGGTTGTGGTTTAGCAAAGAGATGCTACTTGCTGCTGCAAAGCTAACATGAGCATGTTTTGGTGAACTATGAAGTAAGCTGTGTGTCCGCAGGCAGGTCGTTTAACGTTACCTGACTGACACACACATCACTGCTGGCACTGCCGTATAGGGTTGTGTGGCTTGTCGTCCATTATTTAATTATTTAATGCAGATTTTTTTCCCCGCAACACGTGTGGAAGAACTATCCGCGGTTTAGTTAGACAAACGTGACGGAAGTTGACGGAAGTTGACGGAAGTTGAACTTCCATATATGGGTTGTCCCAGAAGCCACCGCGCACAAAACGTAATGACGTTTATCTCGACCGCTCGGCCCACGAATAGTTGTTAAATAAAAATAAGAGCCGTTAAAAAAAAGGAGGTGTCAAGTGTCAACGGAGTAATCAGTGTACGTTATGTGTTAATATTTACTATACTATACTTATATATTATTAATATAGTATATTTATACTATAATTCCTGTAAATACTTATTTATAACAGCCTAATGATAATAATAAAGCAATGTTTCAATTCATACCACTGTTGTATATTTTTTTTCTTCCAAAGTGAAAGTGAAGTGAAAGCTTTCAACCTCCAACAATTCTACATCTGATGTATTCAAGCATCTGAAGCAGCACAGCAACGTGAAACTCCGGCCGAAATGCCAGTGATGCGTGGACCCGTCAGGAGAGAGCGGCATGAAGCAACGTTTCATGTTTTGTAAAGAACAGTGAATACGGTCCTTAATGTGCAGAAAAACAGTTTTCAGTTTGTTGACTCCTCCAACACGTTCTCACTCCCGGCTCGTCACATATTGACGCTTGGTCAAGGCCCTTTAGCATCATTTTTTGATGTTTAAGGCTCTGCGGTCAAGTTAGCAATGCTTAGCAACAATAAACATGCAACGTCCGGTTAGACTTTAAAAATAAAACATTTGCGCTTCGAAACATCACCAATTTGAAACTATTTAAGTTGTGAAACGTTGCAGTTTAGGCACAGAAAGTACTTGGTTAAGGTTAGGAAAAGATCATGGTTTGGGTTAAAATAATTACGTAGGTCAGTTAACTTGCGTAACTTACGCAATTTACAAAACTCGTGCATGTCAGAAAAGGCTGAGTGCAGTAGCAGAGGAACAGAGGTGTGGACCCAAGTTGCAGACACTGAGTAGGAGGTTCAAATAAAGATTTATTTAGTCCAAACAAAACAGGAATACTAACAAAACAGGCTTACTTCTAAAGGCAGTCCAACACGGGTTAAATCCAACAACAGGTGACAGTAATCCAAACACAGGCAATATCCAAAAAATCCAAGGAAACAGAATCTAAATGAAAATATTTAAAGTTGACTTTTTGTTTCACATGGGACACAAACCCTCCATCCAGCCCAACCACCTCCTTACTCTGTCTTTTCTGTTAAATATCATACACCTGCCTTTACCGTCACAAAACTGACGCTACAGGGCTTCCCCCCACTGTGCTGAACTGTGACGCTATAGGGATCCCCAGTGCATTACAAACTGACGCCGGTGGGTCTTGACCATGCGTCCATCGGAGAGTGAGAACATGCCGTCTCCTCAGGTTAATTGTTGTTCCAGTAAAGCGGATTCATTTCTAAAACGAGCTGCTGAACAGGGCGTCGTCACTTTTTGTGCAACATGCCCTCTTTGCTTTAACAAAAATGAAATGAACTCACATAATGTCAAGAAAGAAAATATTCTTACCCCTGTCAGAAAAACCTTCTTCATAGTTTAGCACGATGGGATGGCCAATCAGATTTCAGAAGTGGCCCCTGCCACGTCCCTGCAGATAATGTCACTTGGCTTTTTTAATAAATGTTTGGACAAATTTGGGAAACTGAGCTGAAACAGCTGCAGGGTTTAAAACATCCTTAATAAATTCCCAAAAACACTCTGTGTCAACAAATCTAAACCCCTCATGTCCACACATACACACACACACACACACAGTGTGGCGGCGGCAGGTCCGGACAGATCAGCAGGAAGTGTGTGTGTCTCTGTGATGTTGAAGCCAAAGTGTTTGTGTGAAGTCATTACACCGTGATTAGACTGATCACAGATCAGAAGCTGCTGCCTTCAAAGCTGCAGAGGAAACATTTCTACTTAATTATCTGTCATTTACACACCGATGACACAGACGCACAGGTTCACCTCTGTGTGTGTGTGTGTTGCAGGCGATCATCGATCAGGAGTGTGTGATGCACAGGAAGAGCTACAACACGCAGAAGGAGAGTCGTGAGTTTCCTCTGAGCGACTACAGCGAAGAAGACGAGACGGAGGAGTGACACGCACGCACACACCTGAAGAAGTCCACGTCGTGATGTCGTCTCCAAACACACCTTTACCTTCATCATCAGACTTCCTGTCGTCACACAGTCAGAACAGAACAGACAGCGCTTATTAAAGGGACAGTGTCAAAATAAAAACAGCTCTGTTACATGTCCTTAAAGTCTAAATCCAATATAAAGGACTGATTGATTATTACCGTAACACTCCACCATTCACAGTCAGGGTTCTGTATAAAATGTCATTATTAATTCACGGAGGCTGTAAGGCATTTTTATTTGGTGCAGGTTTACAAAGATGTGAATAGATTTAAGCAAAGTCAATTAAAAGACACCTAATTACCTCCAACTGACCAAGCCCCGCCCCCCTCCTAAGTTACTGTTGCAAAGCATGTTGTGTTCTTGAATATTACATTAACAGTTTTACCCGCCCTTCCGGGATGGGACCGTACAGACCTGCATTTATATGGCAGACAACGATAAAAAATAAAAAAAATTGCTTGAACTTAATATGTAAGAACAGTCTTTGGTATTCTGAGGCTAATATACAACATTAAGCAATATTTCTTATGTAGAACTAAAAAGATTCAGTATTATGTATTTTGTTGGCAGAGAAAGAGAAAGTGCGACCCGCAGTTCAATGTCAGTGTAAAATTAATAACTTAGTTATGACGTTAACGTTACTAGCAAACAGTAAACAGTTATAACCAAAGACAGTATAAAGTATAAGTGGGCGTGGCTGCCGTGACGTCCCCATTTTAAAGCCTCGACTTTGGCAGTTTGGACGTCGCCATGTTGATTTTTTGCATTCAGCAGCATCGGATGTGACCATATTTTGATGAGAAGGTGGAGCTAGCTAGCTTGGTTAGTTAGGTGCATCTGTAATTCATGTTAACTCTGATATTAGCTGGGATGCTAATTTTAGCTAGCGACAAACAGGCTTAAAACAAAACGTACTTACTGAAAAATGAGCGGCCGACTCCTGATGAGCTTTTTCAGTGGCGCTGGTTAAATGTACACAGAGCAGCGAATACAAGTCGCCTCCATCCTGATTGACTTGTCGCCATGGTAGCGACCTGTCAGTCAGCTTGTAGCCCCGCCCTAAAGCCTCCCCTGCTTCCTGGTCTCTGTTCCTCTAAATGGGACCATAATTTACTAAATGAACATCATGCTGTGTTGAAGAAGACTTGAAACTAGCGACTGAGACCATAAACTCATCAGGAAAGTGTTTACTGAGGGAATAAATCAGCTGACAAGCAGAAACATTTTCTCACAGACTTCTATTCAATCACACATCTTTCTGCAGCAGGTGGAGTCGCCCCCTGCTGTGTTTCACTTTTCAGACCCGGAGGTTCCTGCTTGGTGACTTGTTTAGCAAACAGACAACAACAAATTCAGAGTCATTGTTTGTGTCCTTGATTTCAGAGGGACACATTTTTTTGTCTTTAATGACAGTAAACTGAATATCTTTCAGTTAGTTGGACAAAACAAGACATTGGAAGATGTCAGCTTGGTTTTTGGGGACCTGAGGATTTTTTCTCTATTTTCTTGCATTTTATAGACTAACAACAAACTCCATCTGTTGCTATTTAAAGTTTCAAGCTGACGGCTAAATATACATTATAATGCTAACTCAGCGCTGTGTGATGATGCAGAAAAAGCTGAACGTAGCAGGTGAAATATCATCATCTTGCAGAGTCGCTAACATTAGCTTTAGCTTTGATAGAGTCGACTCCAACACAGTGGATGTTGGCAGTTACAGTATTTAGTAGTGTTGTAGTCAAGACCGCCCAAACCGAGACCAAGTCAAGACCAGAGTTTATCGAGACCGAGACAAGACCAAGACTTTTAGGGGCTGAGACCCAAGTCGAGACCAAGACCAGTTCCCCATATTACATGACACTCAATAAAATGTGGAACGAGATCAGACGTACAATCTTCCCATTAAAACACCCACATACAAACGCTAAAGCTTGATTTATACTCCTGCGTAGGGGCCACTGTGTTGACTTTGGCAGCCCAGCAAGCTAACTTCCGGTTTAGCGCTCTGCTAACGTAAATGGGGGTAAAATTGTAAACGTGCAGTTGCCGACAGAATGGATCACATTCTGACAGTGAAAGGAGTCATTTCGCTCGGTCAAATATATTGATCCACTACGTTACAGCCACCGCTTTGACCGCTAGTTAAAGTTACCACAAAGCACGGGCACTTCCTGACAGCTCGGAGGCATTGCAAGGCTACCCAGCCGACCAATCACATTACATTTTTGAGGAGGTGCACGTCAGGCGACGGCGTAGCCGCTGCGTAGCCCCATAGCCTACACCGTCAATTCGAAGTATCAATTACACTTAAGAGCTGAAATCAAGCATCGCCATCGCGGGGTGGCGGGACAGTCGTTAACGGTAACAGCACATTTTAATAAGGGTTATTGGTTCCATTCGAAGCAATACATTTTACATCCAATCAAAGTTAGGATGTTAACAAATAAATCAGACACCTCAAAAGCAATTTATTGATATTCCCAAACTCGTGGTCTTGACTGCTGGTATTGAAATAAAATCAATGTCCGAGACTGAGTACAAGAAAGTGAGCAGTTTAGACAATATTATTTTGGAGGGGGGGGGGCATTCATTAAGGAGATATCCATGTAAACATGAGTTCATTTTAATGAACATGTGTTCCTTCACTCGTCATTAATCTTATGTTTTGGTGTTGAGATGTGAAGCTGTTCCTGTGTCTGACCTGTGTCACCATTAAAACCTGCTGTAACCTGGACAACACCTGTTTACCTGTGCATGTGTTTGCATCTGTCCTCAGAGTTCACATGTTAAACTGAGGAGTGTCAGACTGACAGAAGCATCGGGACAGAAATCAGCTCGTGTGTGTCTTTATGTGTGTGTGTGTGTTCACATGCTTCTTATCTGCTCTTTAATTTCCTGTGACGACTCGTTTCTTCGTCAGAGAAAATGACGACAGGGCGGTCAGAAGCTCCGTCAGATGGAAAGGTAAACAGGAAGTGGATGAAAAGACCCAGTTTTTCTTTCATAAACATTCATTTAACAGAAACCACACACACACTGACATTATTAGCATTAGCTCTGATAAGCTTGTTACTTCACACAGGATGAATCATGGGAGCTTTCAGTAAATGAGCTGACGTCTGTTCTTCAGCAGGAGAAGAAGAAACTTTTAATTCATGTTTTCTACAACAGAGTGACTCAGTGTGCTGAGGCCTGTTTCACAAAAGCAGAATTTAGAAACCAGGATAAGAGATAAAGCTGGGCTTGACCCAGTGTGGTCAGTGCATCCTGGCTTTATAAGTTTCGCAAAGGCCAAACCAGGCAACCAAGTGTAAGTAATTCAGATAAAACAGCTTTCTTCAAGAGACCACAAGGTCGATCACAGATTCAGTGATGCTGAAATGGAAAAGACGTGTGCAGCGTACTTTATTCACTGTTACTCACTGTGTGTAAAAAAGGTTTACGGTGAAAAAATGCACATAACAATAAAAGAAAGAAACACGGCCGCAATATTAAAACAGTGAGAAAAAGCGTGGCAGACAATAGAGGACCGACTGAATGAGTAAGTAGCTAAAAGTATCACTGCTCCTAACAGAAACTGTCATAATTAAGATGTTACCATGAATGATAACGTTATGTCACTCAGCAAATGTATTAATTACAACCACTAACATACTATGTATTCAATTCAATTTCCTTTATAAGCAGCAATTCACAACGAAAGTATAAAAAATTTCTCATAGTATTGTGTATACATATATATATATATGTATATATACACACACAATGTAACTTTGTGTTGAAAAGTGGTGAGGACATCAGGGCTCAGATTAGGGGTGTGACGATACACTTGACTCACGAGATGTGATGATGCACAATTCTGTGTTCATAACAAGAAAAGAAAAATAATTTAACACTATTTTGAAGTAATATTCAATGCTGAGTGGTGAGTCTGCCCCGCCCCCCCAGATGTTTTTGAGCATTAAATTTTCTGACTTCCGGAGAAATATTCTGCACCAATTTATGGTGGAAATGTCTTTCTTTATATAAAAGGAAACACAAAATTCAGCTGGCAGGTGAAAATTCAAAATAGTAAAATAGTACTGTGTCAATTTTGTGTGAAAGTGGTGTACTTGTTTAGTCAGTATGTATAATAGTATGTAGTCCTACAGTCTGACAGCAGTCTTTAGTAGGTATTACCTGAAGGACATCCACAGGTGAACAGTTCCTGCTGTGCTAATTGATGTTTTACAAACTGTCAGATGTCTGAACTGCACACATATGAAAAAATTCACAAAATAAAATATCAACAAAACCCCGGCAGGACTTGGACTTAGATATGGATATAAAAAGAAGCACTGAGGAAACTGACTTGGAAATCCAGAAACTAGAAAGAGAGAGGATCACTGTAAAGCACACTGTGAGCATGACTGTAACACAGTGTATTAATCATTGTTTTCTCTCCCAAGCTGCAGCAAATGATCCCAGGGAGAGAAAAAAAGGTCAAAAATCCTTAAGTTGTCCTCTCCCTGTTGTTTCATGAATAAACAGGGCACAATATAGCCTCCTTACTGAAGTGGGACATTAATTTGGGAGTTTACAATTATGAAACCTAATGAAAATTATAAAGGCCTATGTATCCTATATAGTGTGTGTACATATAATGTCTGGTGCTCACATTTATTGGCTGCCACACTTTATTTTGCAGTTTTATTGCTGTGCCCGTGTTACTTGTCTTTTCTTTTTCTTTTTTCTTTACATGTTATGTGCTTTCATTCCACATAAACCTACTCGCTGTGCTTGCTGTGTATAAAGTATTGTGCAAGCGTCTTCTTCTCCAATTATGAAACCTAATAACCACAAACTGCTATTGCAATGCGGGCTAATGAAAAATATGCAAAACACATACATAAGAACATGGAATAATTTAAATAAACACTTTGGATTCTGATCGGCGTGACCGCTGACTGAACGGAGAAGGCACCAGGATTAACTAAGCCTGGCTGTTAGCCTGGTCTGGAGCAGGCTGGCAGCACAGAATAAATCGCCATGGTAACTTATGCGGTACTGCAATTCAGTTAATAGGCAATATATTGGTTTTATGAAACAGCCCTCTGGTTGAAAAGTTAAAAGGTCTTTTCACACAAACATTGTGCTTACCCAAAGCTAACAAAACCATGACCTAACCTTACTGAGCTAACCTAAACCTTCAGCTAACCTTAACTGAAACTAAACCCTGGGTCAATCTAAAGTTAAAACTCTAAGCTAACCTAAAACTCAGGCTAACCTTAACTCTGGGGTTACCTAAACCCAAGCTAACCTAAAACCCAGAATAACCTAAATCCTGAACTAACCTAAACGTCAGGCTAACCCTAAACCCTGAGCTAATCTAAAACCTAGCTAACCTAAAACCCTGAGCTGACCTTAAAGCCAGGCTAACCTTAACTCTAAACTAACCTAAACCCTGTGTTAATCTAAATCCTCGACTAACAGCCCAGTGCTATGAAGCTATTGTCACATTTGTAATCATCATTACTTTTTATTACTGTCATCATTAAGTTAAGACAATGTCATCTTGAATTTCCACACCAGCAGTGTTGAGGCGATTTGACCTGATAAAGGCTCTCAGTCTGTGTGTTTTATAATCCTGTTCACACAGAGACTTCCCTCCTCACCTGGGAGTCCACCTGTACGCTGTTCACAGGAACACAAGAACATTTTCATTTACAAAAAGAGAAGCTTTAGCTAGCAGATAGCACATGTTTTGATGCTAACAGCAGCTAGCTGAAGCATCAGGCCCAAAAACCAATAATAGACAGAGG